TTCATTCCATCAGTAGATAGGGCCACGAAAAGAACATTGGGGTGGGAGTACCCGAGCCCGGGATAATTAGTCTGGAAAGGCCTGCCGGAAGAGATCTGTTTTGACAGCCCTTTTGAAGCTGTCTAACGATTTTAATTGACGGATCTCATCCGGCAGGCCGTTCCAGAGTCTGGGAGCGACAACTGAAAAAGCCCTCTGGGAGGTAGCCACAAGCCTCAATTTTTGAGGTTGCAGCAAGTGATGAGCAACTGTCTACACACTGACATCCATGCTTCCACTTATACATATTGAGGGATAGCCACGTTGGCCATGTTGGCCATATAGCAAAGTGTACAATTACAAAATGCACTAAATGCAAGCTTTTGAAGAAGCTAGTGGAACTTCGAAAGCTTGCATCATGTATTTTGTGTATTTTGTCTGGCCAAATAAAGTTATTACTGTTCAGTGGATTTTGGATGTTATTGTACTCCACCTACACAGGCTAACTGTGACTTCCAAGCTGCAAATCTGCCACTTGCTGCTAGATGATGTATCTAGTGCACTGTTCACACATTAATCAAAAGGATCTCAGGAAGCATATGTTTCCTACCACACATCCTCCTGGGTCATTTCTGTTCATTTCAATGAGGCTCATGAAGGAGAGGTTCCCAAGTGATGGATCCCAGTAGCATCACACATCATCATCAGCTGGATGTGCCTATCAGCTAAGTGCTAAAGCATTTGATAGGTTTGCCAAGAAGTGTTATTCAAAGGCACATTGGCAGCATCTCTGTATGGCTTAATTTAGCAACACTCCTTCTTTGTCGCCTTCTTCTTCACGCTCAATTTTCTTTCCCTGGGATATGATGCCCCTTTTGAGACATCAGAGTAATCGAGCCAATGAGAGTCACGGGAGCCACAACTCTTCCCTTTTTGCCAACACAAGCCAACTATGCCATAAGAGTGTTATAGCTGCCTCAAAGTACTGCCATTTTCAAACTGGAAAATAAAATCGCTGTTATTTATGATCACTGATCACTGATCAGATCACTATCATTGCTATATCTGATCACTAATGAGAGATAACAGGTGTGATGATCTTATCCACATAAGGGAATCCTGACTATTATCTCCCACCAAAGACTGGACCCCACACCATTTCCTCTCTGCCCTCACCCTCCTTCAGTGACATAATAATAATAATAATAATAATAATAATAATAATAATTTATTTATACCCCGCCTTTAGCCAAAGCTATCAAGGTGGCTTACATGTAAAATCAATCACAAAACCCAAACAATACAACGAACATATAACCCCCCCCCCTTAAAAATAGATTAAATCAAATTGGCATTAAAATCTAATTTAAAACAATAAGACTTTGAAGCATCTAACACAGATTAAAACGAGAGGCACTCTAGGTAAGTAGGGAAAGAAAGGGGAAACTATCTGACGATGAGGAACCGGTTGGAAAATAATATTATTCCGGGAACGCCTGCCGGAAGAGATCCATCTTGATGATTTTTTTAACAGAGAAGGCTCAGTGTCTTTTGGGTAACTAAAGGCCTAAGCAGACTGCCAGAAATAGTGCACATTAAATTGAGACACTGCCCTGGCTCAGTGCTAGGGAATCATGAGAATTGTATTTTTTTCTGAGACATTGAGCCTTCTCTGTCAGAGAGCTCTGGTGCCACAATAAATTACAGTTCCCATGATCCCCTAGCACTGAGCCAGGGCAGTGCCTCAATTTAATGTGCACTATTTTTGGCAGTCTGCTTAGGCCCTAAGAGGGACTTCCTTATGGAACTGGTGACTACGATTGTTTGTCCTTTTAGGACGGCAAGACTTATGAGGAGATGAAGAGCAGCCTTGGAGATGTATCAGCTATATCAGAGATCACAGTGGTGAGTAGGTTTAGGATCAGATGTTGAAGCTTCTTCTTGCAAAGAAGTGCTTTGCTCTCTCTTTTGGGGGGCTGATTCTGAGGTCTACAGTGCAAAGCAGAAGGCTTGTCAATGTGAGCAGCCTCCCTATGGTCAAGATTCTCCATCATGGTTTGGTAACATACCATACACTTACACATATGGACTTGTGCAGTGATTGTGCTTCACTACTCTTAGGTTGAGCAGCAGTGTTGCACAACCCCACATACATTTACATGTTCAATAGGTTGTGGACCTTTAACATGAATGCACATCTTCAGCACTGGGTAAGAATATCTGTGGCTAAGGGTGCATCTACACAATAGAAATAATGCAGGTTGACACCACCTTAACTGCCATGGCTCCATCCTACAGAATCTTGAGATATGTAGTTTTGTGAGGCACCAGCACTCTTTGGCAGAGAAGGCTAAAGTAAAAGCAGCTTATTTATATACCGCTTCATATCACACTATGGGATGTCTAAGCGGTTTACAACTGTGAGCTGATTGCCCCCCAACAATCTGGGTACTCATTTTAGCGACCTCAGAAGGATGCAGGCCTGACTCGAGCCTCAGCCCTGGCTGGTATTGAACTCGCAACCTTGTGGTCTATGAGTGAGAGGCTGCAGTACAGGCATTTAACCACTGCGCCACCAGGGCTGATTTGTAAAACTTCAAATCCCAGGATACATTGGATGGATCTGCAGCAAATAAAGTGGTGTCAAACTGCATTATCGCTACAACATAGATGCGCCAACAGGATTTTGTCCTAAGTTTTCAAAAACCTCTTTCTGAACACAAATATGAAAGAAATGTTTTTACTCTGGCCCTGTTGATCCTTGTCAAAAAAAAGCTGGCTTCCAAATACCTGCCCAAAAGTTCTGGACCTTTGTATATCATGGGAAATTCCTGATTCATTCAGGCTTCCTGACTGGCCAAGACTCATTCAGAGACAGTCATAGAGATCAGTCAAAAATGTCTTTGTTTAGGATATGAATTTATGAATTTATGAAAATGCATATATTCCTTCATATTCAGGTGGGGGGGGAATGAAGGTTGAGATTTGAATCATGAAAACCTACATGGAAGAGCATTACAGCACAGTTCATTGCTAGGAAGAGCTGTACCTATTGAATTTGACAGGTGCAAATGACAGGGAATTTGGTTTTAGTTCACTTTTGAAGAAATTGCAAAAATCCACAAATGTCTTGATAATTGGTTAAAAAAAAGACTTGAGTTTTGAAAAAATTATACTGCAAGAGAAAGTGAAATTGATAGATTTTCTCATTTCTAGATGGCTGTGATTTTCCACTATATGGTGTGTGAGTCCTACTCATCCAACCCAAAGTCTATAGCCTTTTCTTTCTTTCTCTTTCTATATATATTTCTTAGGATCTGAAAAATGCCAACTTGAGCAATAAGAACACCAGCAATAAGCCAACTGCCACCTCTCCAGCTGTTTCAAGGACTGGAACAA